CAGCACATTTACAACTGAAGAACATCTGGAACTCAAAGCAACTGTCAACCAACACCAAGGTCAGGAGTTTCAGTGCAAATGTCAAGACAGTTCTACTGTCTACTGGGGCAGAAACCTGGAGAACTACGAAAAACATCATCCAGAAAATACAGGTGTTTATTAACAGTTGTCTACACAAAATACTTCGAATCCGTCGGCCGTACACTATTAGCAACAACGTACTGTGGGAGAGATCAAACCAGATCCCAGCGGAGGAAGAAATCAGGAAGAAGCGCTGGAAGTGGATAGGAGACACATTGAGGAAAGCACCGAACTGCGTCACAAGGACAAGACCTCACATGGAATCCTGAAGGCCAAAGGAAAAGAGGAAGACCAAAGAACACATTACATCGAGAAATGGAGACAGACATGGGAAGAATGAACAAGAATTGGATGGAATTAGAAAAGAAGGCCCAGGACAGAGTGGGTTGTAGAATGCTGGTCTGCGGCCTATGCTCCATTGGGAGCAACAGGCGTAAGTAAGTATTTATATGGGTTTCCATATCTATTCATAGTTAATTCACAAATTTAACGTAAAAAACAATTGAATGTCTAAAAGTGTAGACATATTTTGATATTGTAGCAATGACTGGATAGGATAAATGCTTATAGCATCAACTAATAATGTATACGGAGAGGTTCATATAGAGACTTGGTACTTTACTAACTTTGAGAAAAGGGAATCGGTGTTGTTTATTAGCATATATTTTAGGTAAACAGTAATCAATGTTTCATAAAGTTTGATTATGGAATGGTATGTTTACAGTTTTAAATTCGGTATATTTTTTGTAAGTTAAGATTATCTATTACATTTTTCTTTAAATCTATGAAGTAAACTGTCGTGTGAATACTACTGAAATCAACATGAAAATTTTGTAGTTACAAAATATAACAAGCAGAAATCAAAATGAAATTCAACTGTCAAAATATTCAAGTTGTACTGGTCATTGTAAAAACTAACCAGAAACAAAACTAATCGTTATGAAAACAAATTATCATTTAATTATATTTATATTGTGAAGGATTTGTGGTCTATAAGAGAAGTGATTTTATATCTTATAATTTACAAGTAAGTTAAAATGCAATACTTTTCAATAGCGTGTGATTTGAACCATTCGTAAATGTTGTTTTACACTCTAAATATAAATTGATTGATTTCATGAATGGATCAATGTTAGACCACAATTAAAAACCTAAAGGAACTGGACGACTGTTTCGTTCTTGTATAGGAATCCTCAGAGATGCGAACTCTTAACCCGCGTACAAGATCTTGGACGCGCACCATTGACGAGTCCCACACTGAGACAAAACAACCGTTCAGTGCTTCCAGGTTTTCGATGGAGGTCTAACGTTCATCCATTCATGATACTAATCTAAACTCAACGATCTCCATAACCCTACACAGATTTCTAAGTACAATCTCAGCCTGATGTGATTTGTTTTGAATACTATTTATTGAAAATTACTGGTTCAGATTTCTCGTACTGGTGAAATAAATTGATCAGAGGTACAATTTTTCATTATCAGTTTGTTCTGATCAAACAATCATTCTAGATATAATACTAAGTTATTGAATTTTTATCTTACCTTATGAATGACACCGGTTGCAGCAATTCGTCTAAAAATCAGTAATTTATAGTCGTTGTAATAAAAATTCCACAGAGTAAGAAAACATTTCACATTTGTCAGATAGTTATAGGATCTATATGAAGTCTGAAAAGTGACTTGTCAACGTTTTACAACAATTTCTGGAAGATTTTTCGCGTTGTCACACCAAATTGTCTGGTGATAGAGAGTATTTAATATAGACAACAACTGCATGAAATTGACATGTAAACAACAAATGAGCAACAATATGAAACAAATATTTTTGATATTTTTCTCTAATGAAAAGACTTATGAATATAACTATGACGCTAATATAACTACTCATTATATTTCCCTGTAACTTACTCAAATGACTAACATCAGAAATCAACTCAAATTAGTCAATTTTCAAAATGCTGGTTAATGCGTTTTGATGGGTGTCTTACTGTTTCAACCGAATATTGAAATCTGTTCCAAGTCTGTTACTGAGTGGAGTGAGATTTAAAGAAGTAACAGTAGGTTTTCGAATTCTATCAACGGATTAGGAATAACAAAAACACCATATTTAAATAAACAGCTTGTTGAATAAGACCATTTTCCTAACAAATAAGGTCTTGTCTATAACTTATTGCAACATCTATAATTAACTGTTTTACATGTTTTAAAATAGTAGTCTAGATCATAAAAAATCAACTGATTGTGTTATAGTTTATTGCAACACTAAAATGGTTATCGTTACCACAACTCCACTGCAAAACAATTAAGTGTAAATCGAGAGTGTCACAAACAGGCAACTGAAAACAAACACCACCTACAAACTATGATAAAAGTTACTAAGTTGGAGAAAATAGTAGACTGCCTGCAAAATCATGAGTAAGCATGTCATTTTTCATTGTTCATTTTAAAACTGAAATATTTTCTTGACATACTCAATTGGACACTTCGAATGAACATATGAAGCTTCAACAGATATATGTCAAGTCCTCATTGTCAAAAAGTGTAAAAGAATTGGTTTATCAGATGTCATTGATTGACAAATATCCGTTTTTATGCACCTTGGATGTAAGTTATTAAAGTTTGGTAGGCTTATGATGTGTGGATGTGAAAGTAAAGTATGATTGGTCACTGAACGTGGATAAACAGGCACTTAGCATACGGACTGTTAAATATGTGATTTCCTTTCCTCTCATTGATTTCTACTCCACACTCACTGAGAGTGACAGCTTGTAATTGTCTTTAATAGAGTACTATTAAGCTTATACTCTGACTATCTATTCCGGATCGTAAATGCTGATTCTGATACAATATGACTAGCCTCATTATCGTATTAACGCATTATAGTAGTAATAGCTGAGCGAATGAGAAAAATATTCGGAAAATATCCGTTATATCAGTTTATTAGAATCATCGAGCAGGGATAAACAGGCATATTTAAGATAAATTAATTTTATTCAAATCACTGTAATAAATAATTACTCATTGTTTTTCTGCAACATACTAGGAGGACAAACCAATTCCTATGTACCAAAGATTATTATCTTAATATTGATATTTAACCTATTGTATGTAGAGCAATTTACAGCCCATTTTGTATATCACTTTCTATATTTATGCTGTTATTGTAATGGTCTGACAATATCAGAGCCGTCAGTTTATTGAGCACTATACAGTGTGAGTAAAAATTGTAAAAACAAAATGAAATTTTAGAGATCTGATGATACTGCTTAACTTCGTTAAAAGAGAGCAATTAAAATATAACAATAAAATTCTGATCATTGTATTCAAACATGCAGCGTTGAGTTCTGTTGGCAGTATGACATTTAACAGTTATTTAAACGTTGATTCCCTTATCAATCAAATTATGCATATAGGAGTCCTGTCAAATAACAGTACGACTAGCTTGCAGAATGTAAACAGACTTATCTTTGTGAAGTAAACTCTTCTGATTGACCAAGATATTTATACAGATTTTATATCCAGAGCTTCAAATGCCTTTTATAAATGTATTTCAGACAGAACATGAAAATTGTGTTAATGGCATGAATATCTATCGGGAGTAAACAACCTTGAAATGGTGGACGGAATGAAGGATCCACATGTTGATTTTCTGTTGCTTTCTCAAAGTAATCAAGTATGATAGTTTTAATTTGCAGTATCATGTTTTCCAAGCGTAGTCGATGTTTCTTTGAGAAGACTTCTGGTGGTGTTAGATGCTATTTACACGATCGTAAAAGCTTAATATAAGATAACTCAGAGGATTTACATTCAACATTTAACACTCAGAGAAGGTCAGTAATGGTGAACACAGGAATATTTAATTTGTACGGCATGACTCGGCTATGCAGGTGTGTTCGCTCCATATGACCTCTTGCTTTTCATACTATCTATATTATCCTCTTCCCAGTCTAAATATATTATTCAGCATAGCCCAGCAGCAACAATTTACTACCAAGACAGAACGAGTCAGTGTAGATAATGATATGACTTCCACGTAAGGTCTGATAGGTTAAGTAGTCACATCATGGTGGTTCTAAAATTTTGGATGGGTATGCTATTCTAGTAGCACAGATAGGCCAACTATTTTAACGAACGATGAACTGAGGTAGAGAAGACCAATTTATTGTGCTCCCATAAAATATGAAGACCATACATGACATCATCTGTACATCTTCGAGCAGCTTTGTTTACAATCTTCATTGTTCCTTCATTGCTGTTGTTATTTTGATTGCTTTCAGTTTTCTTCCCTCTTCTTTTCATTTTAATTTTCTCAATCTTCTGCTGGCATACAATCCACTTCCAATTGGTGCCACTAACTACTTATATCTGTAGTATACACCACACTATTATTGACCTAGATCTTAATCATGGACATCTGTCGTGTAATTGATATTATGCTTCTTAAAGCAGTATATTGCTCAACCTTTGACAACTATGTAAAACACAAATGTTTATCAATGTTATTCGATCTATTCATTCTTCAGTATAATAAGTCCAATAGCTAAAATAAATCTGTGTAATCATAGGTGTAAACAAACAGTCAGCAACCAAAAAATTCTTTATAGTAGAAAAATTGAAAATTTGAATCACCAGCTAAGCTTCACACATATATGTTAATTTCTAAATTAGTAACTTATCTTATTATCAATGTTTAAATAACATTAACAATACATGTCTATTGAATCAGTATATCTGTAGTATGAATACTTACACCAATAAACATGTTGCGTCTTTCCGATTGGTTAACCAACGAGATGTACTTTAAGCTCTAAAGATAACACAAAGGTCTCATAAAATCCTAACTAAAATACTATAGGTAATTATTGAGACTTAACATTTGAATTTATTAGTCGGAGTTTAATTATATTCCTATCATTATGATGTATATGGCACAATTCCTACTGGTGATCTCGCTGATTATAATTAATATGAATTATAGTAAGATCATTTATTAAAGTTTCATTCCATTTAATGGTGTTTTAATTATACAGAATACGCACAGATTTTGATTTTATTATGCTTAGTGATTTCAGTCATTCGATAATTTATCTTGTTATTTATAATTAACAGTCAGTTCCATATTCATTGGTAAGCTTGAATAGATAATGATCAGCAGTCTTTCAGTTCAGTATCTACTGAAGTTAACGAACATATTCTGACTGTAATTAGTTGAATAAAACCACATCATTATTAGGTGTAATAATTCTTCACATTCATTTCGAAATATTTGATTAATTGATGGACACTAGATTTGAAGCCTTGAAACATTTAATGTTACAGAAAGCTATTGTATATCTGAAAATTGTATTTGAAATATTCTCAGCGATTGAAATTAGTTAAATTTCAATCGCTGAGAATATTTCAAATATAATTTTCACATATAATGACTTCTCTATACTCGGCGCTCAATTACTGTCAAACTATTCGTTCTAATATTGACGAATATTCGTATATATTGTATATCTGTTTTATGATAATTTGATTTTGCATTCTTATGGAATCTTAAAGTGATTTCTTTAAGTAATGATCTTAATGTTTTGGCATTTTTCAGTTCATTCATCTAATAGGACACTAGTTACATTCCTAAATTACTCACTCAATGTTAGAATTAACAATAATCACTGTATTGATTACTATATAATGGGTTGTAGTAAGCATCTTTTTAACAATAAATTTTGTTTAAATGAGAACTTTATACGGTATGATCCAAACAATATATATAAATAAGTCTATACTATAGTGATTGCTTACCAAATATATATTTACACTCGAATGTTTTCGACAATTCTACTTCAATAATTTTTTCGACTGCATAACTTAAATGCTTTATATGCATGGAGTAACATCAAGTAGTAAATAGGAAGTGAGATATAGTAATCACTTCGGTGTTCCGATTAGAATTTAGCACCATTTATCATGATATAGTTTGAATGGTTTGCATTAAATCTCAGAAATAAATAATATAATTAATAGAATTGATCAGTTAGATAGTAAGTAGGTGGCCTAGAGAAAATAGTAGGCAACCAACTTATGTATAGTTTATTAGTTCAAAGGTGAACTACACAGATAATGCATTCCTGACTATTTTTTGAACCAATTTGTTTTACACAATTCGAATTTCGACTTAAGCGTTCATATAAAGAATCAGTATTCTTAAGGCTTCCCTACACTATAAAATTCAAGGATACATTTATCCGTAGTACCTCGGAAGTTGGTTAAATAAACTGAATCTATTTATAAAATATTTTAAGAAAACCAGCTTACATGAAATAACCTACCTGTCATTTGTCGTTATTAAGAAACAATTGCACTTTGCATGTAATCACATTCCTAATTATTAAACATATCCAAACTTATAAAATAAACTAAGAAATATAGATCATAATATTTGACTACTGAAAAATTAATCAGCAACTAAATACAAGCTACAATATTTTTCGGAAACTAACTGTACTTAGAATATAAGTAGGTAAAATAAGTTCTGCGAAGAAAGGTAAACCATTAATTGATTTCCAGTAAATTTTCATTTTCTAAACTTTTGTTCCTCAAACTTTACTATATATGGTGTGCTGTGACAACTTTCACCCTTTTTTATTCATTTGTACTAGAGTATATTTCATCAAAATTCTTAGTACGAATAGTATTATTATATGGTTTCATTTTATTTGTACTCAATAAGATTAACGAAATGTTATATGGATTGCAATCAAAGCACTAATTGAAGTGTTGAGATAGGTGAAGAAATTGGATTATGCTAAAAGATACCAGAGAGGACGTTTTATTTCACAACGATACGGGTTTGAGGTCTATTTGATATAATTACATTTCCAGAATTTATATACTGACCATTTTGTTTGAGGCTGAGCAATAATCATTCGTTCGAATTTTTTTTCATTGCAGATAACACTGAAGCCACATAATAAATATGAGTTATAGGTTATCCACTAAACATTCTGTTATTTTCAAGCTGTTTTAATATCCATTTCAGATTAATCTGAAATCTTCACAAGGTTGAAATAGCCTTGGTAATCGATTGTTTTACGGAAGGTTGTCATGTCAAAATCTGAGTGAATGCTTTCAGTCAATTTACTATAACTATTGGAGTCTGTAGAAACTAATATTTATAGAGAAAACAATTTTCATTCGTCAAATTTACAGTAAAAATAAGTCAAATATGATGCTTAAATAAAAAATAATAAGACAAATGTCCCATAGATGGTTATTGAGACTTTAACACAAAATATCTACTCGTTCAAATAAAGCTAGAGGGATAAGGTTTTTCAAAATTAAGGGATTTCATCATATTTCGTGCCTTTATATCAGCTACAAACAGTAAAGTTGGAAGCAAACAATGATAGGTTTAAGGTCAACAAGAACCAATCAACATCGAGATGTACAGGACAAGCTGTCAACCACATGTGGAGAAATCCGAACACTTCACTTCCATATTAAGTTTGCGCTGATGATGTCGTTCAAAAGAACGATGAAAGCTCCACGACCAAACCATCCAGCTCAGAGAACAAAACTCCATCAAAAGTTGGCAACAATACAGAAATCTGTCCACTAGGAATGATTGGTTGGAAAATGTCGATAGAACAATGAGAAGACGGAGTTGATCTGAAAAATGTGATGTATTAGTTGCTGCAAGTGATTAGTATTTGAATACTGAATACGCAGTTATATAAAGATGTAATATCATAAATAGTGATTAATGGAAAAATCGAAAAACATTCAAACAAATAAATGATTTTGTAATCAAGCTACTTAGGAGAGCCAAAATCAAAATTAAGATTGTGAGTGAATAGCAGTGGAATGTTATAAAATATAAAATAAAACTAAAAAGTGTTACGCCATTACTACTATTTAACAAACCTATTAGAGTTTCATCACACTTGAAGGTGTAACGAAGAGTAAAATCTGGATTTATTTCATAATAATTAGTTAAAAACATCTTTTGTTATACTCTTGTTATATCCAATATCCTTAAAGTGCCTTATGATCTCACCTGTGAACAGTTTTACTTTCTTTAAAACAGTTTTCGAAGGATGTGTTTAAAAATCTTTGGTGATAGTTTTCTCACAACCGTTCCTATAGAATTGCTACCACGATTAAGTGCAAAATCAAAAATACAATTGTAGGTGGCTTCATAAGGGTACTGATCCACTCCCGATTATTTTATTAAACATTTCCTATCATATAAACATTCATATAAGTATTTTAATGTAAGATAATCTAAGGTTTAACACATTTTAACGTACCAACACTAAGTTGGTGATCAACTTACTATTTGAGAAATAGTTGTATTATTTATTGTTTAGTAGATCTTACCCCAAAAATACTAAATTTACGACTACAACTGGTTAAATTATCTATGACCACAATACTTCATCAAAATAATTCCTATATTTTGAGAATCATCAACTTTTTTATATTTGTGGATGTACCGGTTTGTAAGTTCTAAATATCACAAGAATTTGTGCAATAGATTGCATTCAACTCTCCATTGTCAAAACAAAAGGTACCCGTATGTTGAATAGATTAGCTGAATGGCTATATATAAAATTTTACCAATATAGTTTTGTCGACGTTTAAGGCTTGAAATCAAGACGGTAGTTACTACGTTGTGATGGATCAATCAGATATTTAAGCCAGTTTAATTCTGATAGATATGATTTACTTCTTGATGCTACAGATAATTAGTTCAATAGGACGTATGACATAACTGCTGATTGCCTTTCATTGGAAATAACAGGGTCATAAATATTTTCTTAATGCTTATAGATTTTATTGAAATCACCAACCGATCTAAGTTAGATAAACATTAAAAACCTGGAAGTGTTGAAAACGTTTTCGTCCTAGATGGTGGTGCGAGACCGAAAGCCCTGACTTCTATTCTCGATTGCGTTGTTGTGGATGAACCCTATCGAGTTGGTCCATACCAGGACTAAAAAGCCATCCAGTGCTTTCTGGTTTTCAATGGTTGTTTAACTTTGATTGGTTGATGATTTCAATGGAATTCAATAATCTCAACGACCTCATACTTACACTTACTAATTTACCAGCGGTATGACTTAAAGTTACCTATATTTGGATTCAAAAATGTTACTATCGTTCTGCATTTGAATCAGAGATAGCACATTATGTCATGTAAGATAATGAAATATTGGTATATTTCTATTCACTCAGAATTTAAATTAAAATAACAAAGAATTAATGTTCACAATTTTAACAGATAATTATCAATATGAATGATAATCTGTCCTATTAGTTATCATGGCTTACTAATGGTGAGATTATTGTTATTTTTATTTCTTCTGACTTCAGATCTGTCTTTGAATTGCTACTCATGCTTACTATGTCCAGAACCTTTCGATCCTTCATCACGACTGGTACACAATGATAGTAATTGTCAATGGTGTGCAGTGAGTGAAATCAGTAAAAAAAATATTCACTTTTGGGAATACTATTCACTTACTGAATTATACTAAGTACTTACAGTTTTACAAATGAAACTGGATTACAGGACAGTAACTGGTGTATATACTTAAATACGTACATCATACTAGTTGTGGATTCACTGTATTTCCGAACTTATTTCTTTGAGAACATGCTAGGTTTGAAGCGGTTACGAGTTCACTTAGTTTGAGAACGGAACAAAGACTCGGTGACCAAAAACCAAAAAGCTAGCTATTCGATGCGTCCCAGCCCCGCTAACTAGAGGAGGAAGTCCAAGCTTGGAATGAGGAAGTATATTCCGAAAACAGCCAGAAACGAGCGATAACAACAAACACAAGTCAAAACGTATATATACAGCACAAAACCGTCCTTGGGGAGAGTTACAAAATAGCATTCTAAAAGACACAACTGACCAGTAGCATTTCAGATTCCCCCAAGTGGGAAAAACAAGATGAAGGTGAAAAGAGAGCTTTGGCGCGAGAACAAAGAAATTGAAATTTTCTAAACAAAATTACAAAATCAGGTCCCTTTCAAAATGAGTTCTGGGGATCTAACGTCCCCAACAGAATATAAGTGCTCAACTATCTCCAAGATTTTGATAGTTGGTTATTTTTTTGAGATCTAAAAAATCTTAACTAGAATGAAAGTATTTTGTTTGTGCCTTCTGATTATTTAAAGCGAAAAGCAATGTTACTATGCCATCGATTGTTTGAGCTTTGATCAAATGAATTTTATTAACAAGAAGGGTTTGTTTAAATTGTTGGATTTTATAATGAATATCACGATATGAAATTAGTTAGACAATTATTTAAACCTTAAAAACAATGAACAGTTGTTTTGTCCTAGTGTGGAACTCCTCAATAATGGGAACTCATGAGACAGTTACTTAGCTGTATTGTAGAGGTCAATTCCTCTATATTTGACTCCAGTAAATGATGTCCTGTTAACTGAATATTTTAAGCAGGTTGATTCTCCTAGTAGCCCTATGAATTCGCTCGAGAATATTCAAAAGCCAGAACACCAATTGTTGGTAGAGTGCATTGTTAACAATGATAAAGTCTGTAAGCTCGCAAAAGACAAGAACACTGGGAAGCGAGAGAGCAAGAGTGAGTGTCATATATATTTATGTTTATTAATCAATTATGAGAAAGTTATTGTTTGACTATGTAAACAACCAATGGGAGAATAAATAGTATTGATGTGCAACATCGGTGTTAAAATGTTGTTATTAAGCAGTAGATAACTCAAGTTCAAGTATCCTTACTACAGAAAATTCTGTGATGTGCTACTAGAACCCATGATTTGCACTAGGCATGTAAGGGCAATAAAACGGTAGAAAAAGATTTATTTGATACCATGATAGACCATGATGATACCCGAATACACTAATATTTTTATTATTGATTTATATCGATTAACAGTGAGATTTATAATATTATATTTAGTAGCACTTGACATTAATTAATTAATAATCTATTAAATGAACAAAAATTTGCATCATAAGATTCAATGTCTATAACCATTAGTTATATTCGATTCACTACAATCATATAATCACACGTTTTGTGATGCGGTATTATGGGATAAACGATTGGAAAAAATTAATTTTGATAACCTCCTAATCCTCGAACAACATGTCGTCAAGATAATAACCAGTTATTATAGATGATTTAGTCATTTTCTATAAACATGTTTTCTGAGAATTTTATATTTCTTGTACAGTAGAAGTGAAACATGTGGTTGTGATATTTATTGATAAAAAATTAACCACTTGAGTTAAATTTGTGAGATTCGTTGCTTTGTAAAATTGTAGTGGTGAACAGCTGATGTATCTTGAGTGTCTATGAAATAGTATAACAATTTAAAACCTCTATAAGTACATCTTATCACCGATTTTAGCTAACAAGTAGAATATCTAAGAGAGATTAAAAATAAGATTAGGAAGATGATATATGAATAGTACCCTTTGTTATAGTTAAAATATTCACTTTTGAAACAGATATGCAAAAGTGTTTTCACAACCACATTAATAGTATTTACAAGAAACTATACACTCAACGATGCCCATTTTGCTGTAATTGTAAATAGTTATGTAGTTGGATTTCGACTGTCAAGTTGAGATGTGATATACTTTAACTGGAATTTGACAGAAAAATACATTATGTTTGTATTACCAGTGAATAGATTAAATGTCTAATAGATTCTCTATAATATTTTGTGAGGCCCTTAATTTTGTCGTCATTTAGTTCATACGATGTTGTCGAAAGGTCTCTCCACTTTAGTGGCCCGAGATCTGACTCCAAGGAATCGTAATGATGATTGTTGTTGAAATATATATGTCGCCCATCCTCGTATATAATCATCGAATATTATCGCGGATTTAGATAAGTCAAATAACGAGAATGAACTTGTAAATACATATATTTTTGTATATGAAGCGAATGGAATAGAGAGAAGAGAAACGACGAGCAGTGGGGATGGCTGGTAAGTAAACTCCCATTTAACCAAGCGTTAATCAATATTTATCGGCACACAAAAATAAGTTACAGACATGTGATGAGTAATGGGATAAGAAGTGTACACACACCTACGCGCTCACATAAAAACAGTCAAGGTTGATAAGCGAATAATTAACAAGGTCAGAATGTGACTCAAGTAGAATGAATAAAATGGGCTGTCCGAAGAATATATGGGCTTAACATAATGACTGATATTACAAATACATTGACGGAACAATAAAAATAAATTTTAAATCCTATTATCTAAATAACACGTTTACCTGTTTGTAAAAGTACCCTTTTGTTTAATTTTGTCAAATTAAAATCATATATCTATCTACTTTTTTTCATATCTTTTATGATAGAAACTTGAAGTTCCACATTATTTTAATCCAATCAGACAATGTACACCTAAATGTGACTTTGAATATTTCAGTGAAACATACCCTAAACTTACTTATTATTGTTGTCAAAATAATTATTGTAATAAAAGTATAAAAAATTCAATAATAATTCATCATATACTACTAATAACTATCATCATTATTTATTTGTTTCATTATTTATAAAAATTGATGCAACAAAAAAAAACTCAACAGTACAATGTTCAAATCAAAATATCTCCATAAATTCACAATCTAATTTTTATATAATTAATCATGTGAAAAACAAAAAACTGTGATTTCTTTATTTGAAGATGAGCAAAAAAAATTTTTTTGTTTCGTTTTTCTTTTTTTTTCTTTTTTTTTTAGGATTCATTAATTTATTTTATTTCAGCTTATGTTTTAGAAAAATAATAAATTCCATGTTTATTTTTATATTTTTTATATTGAATGAATAGTTATTTAGAGGGATTACATAATACACGGGTGAGATACATGTTTATTTACATGACATAAGTTGGTTATCATCTATATGTTTAGTAAAATTTATATCTTCTTTAGAAATTGATTGTTTCTGTGTACTAACATTTATGCATTTTATATTAAAAATGGTTCTTGTGGAATTATAATAATTTCAATGTTTGAGATCATGAGTCACTTGAAGCTAGATTACCGTGGAAAACCTGGAAGCACTAGAAACTATTTTATCCTATTGTGGGACTCCTCGGCAGTGTGCATCCACGGTCTCGCTCACGAGATTCGAACACAGGACCTATCAGTCTCGCGCCAGACGCTTAACCAACTAGACCACTAATCAGCCGGCATTCAATGATGTTAATTTCTAACTTCAACAATCCACGAAATTGAGCGACATATCCACCATTGTCTTTAGTAGCTACTATCTCACAACTGAACCGGTTGAACTCCACTGGTCACGGCTTCTCACTGGAACTCAAGATATACCTCTTAAAGCCGGTCACTAGTGAGCATATGTTAATCATGTCAAAAGGGTTTTTGTGGATATTACGATAATTGCAGTGGTTGAGATCATGAGTCAATTGAAACTAGATCACCATGGAAAACCTGGAAGCACTGGACGACTGTTTCATCCTATTGTGGAACTCCTCAGCAGTGTGCATCATGTATTTGACTATAGATAAGTCTAAAACATGGAAATATATGTCACTAGACTAATTAATACCTACAGTCACCTAACCATTATGTTATGTTATGTCTTTAACTTATACAATTATCGCAAAATACGACTGCTAAATTTACTTGCACTGACTTACACTACCAAATTAATGACGCATACACTAGTAAAAGCAACCTAGAATTCCGATTGATCCTTTTTCCACCTAGACCTGCCTGTTAAGTCCAGAACGCCAATCTCAGCCTCCGCAATACGAATTGTATATTTTAAACATACTGAGTTTATATACAAACAAATTAGACTACATCACACCATAAAATAGAAAGTAACATTTGTACAAGATTAAGCCAAAAAGTGAATGTGATTGTGAGGGACTGTTGCTAACAAACTGGGAATATCTCAAGAATAATAAATTGTATCATAATAGTCAACAGGTCAAATAAAGGCTTATAATGAAAGGAATATCAATATGCATATAACATAGTTACTTAATAGTCATACAATAACACAGACTTCCTGAAGTTTTATTTTGTACAGAGTTGAGTCATATATTTTATTCTATACATTCCGTTTAATAAAATAATGAAACAGATGGAAGTAAGTTATCAAATAAATCAATGTTTTGAGTTCAACTGGCCAACTCGGAGTAAATAGCGTTAGTCGAGTTTCAAATATTTAGCGTACATTTATCATCTGGAATCGGTAGCATGATAAATACATTCAGTGAAATATAAAAGTCGCATACAAATGTGTATATCAGCCATAAACATTCTAATTAGTAAGCGAATTACTTAACGCAGTCGATAATTCATCTTAGATAAAAATTCATCATTAACTGTACCTAATTTGCCATTAGACCCATTTTTACTTGAGTTTTTTAACGGTGATACTCAAGTAGTCAACAGATTTTTATTTCCTTATTTATTCACTAGAACAATCAATATCACTGGGTTTTAGAATCAGGCAAAAATTCAATTGCAAAAAAGTTGAGTTCAAGGAAGTGAAATAATGAAGAACGCTATTATTTTCCAGTTCCACATTTCAGCAATCCATTATCACAATCATGATGAAGATACTTTTTTAAATTTTGCGATCCTCAAACTATAAGAAATCAAGTAAGAAACATGAATTTTGTACGATTCTAAAATGCCTCTGAATCTATCACTCCAGAAAAAAACACTTCATAGAGGCTTGTGTACTGATAACTATTTATACATAATTCCCTCCATTTTTTTCCAATTATTCTAAACTTCAATTTCTTAAAGTTTGCCTAAAATTAACAGAAAATTCTATGAAGTATCTACAAACTCCACATTTAGTTGGAACAATAAATATATCAAAATAGAACATTGATATACATTAGATTAGATAATAAATAATATATAACTCAAAAATAGAATTCTTAATGAATTGACAGGGCATGAATCAACCAGTTAGGTCTGGTGCATAATCTGAAAAATTGATGAAAGCGCACATCAACTAGAAAAGTGAATGGAGTTAAAACAGAAATTTCTCAAAATTTTACTGTAAGGAATAATCTCCTAAAGTAGTCAAAATGATGAAAAGTTACATTTCAACAAAATGTTCAGTGCGAACAGTTTCAGGTTTATTGCTATCCTGAAAAATTCAAATGATGTTTATTGAATAAATTGAAGTTTTGATACTCGTCAATGTTTCGTGAAGTGAAGTATCACGAAACACCTCGTTTAGTCAACAAGTCAAATGTATCTTTACATCTCACATTTTACTGACTATTACAGCACGAAAAATAACGCAGTTTCCGTGTTTACGCCTCTGTAAATCATAGGTTCTTAGTTGTGATTATATAAAGATTCCGTTTACGAAATGGCTGTGAGTGAGATGAACGTGAAATCTGAAAGAAGGTAATACTATTTTAGCTGTTCAAATTCCAAAATTCAAACGACAGAAAATTTAACCATGAAGAGTTTTTACAGTCTTAGTAACAAACAAGCATAAGAGATGAACAAGAGCGTTCACCCACGACTGTTTCTGTGATCATTTTATGGAATACAGATATTTATGGTCAACAAGAAAATCATATACTTTATTTCAATCACTTCTATTTATATTGGACCCTAATCAATTTTCCTTCTCAATTCACTTAGTGATAATACACACACTGAAATTTAAGACGTTCAAGCTAAATTCATTTCTATTATAATTCAGCTTAGACAACCGCTTTCCTTCACGAGAAAGAACATATTTGCGTCATTATATGTGATACTACACATAATTATTTACGTGTATTTTGTGCTTACAAACAAAAAATGATTTGAAATGTGTTTAGTTATTGGAATTTTGGTAAAACGATTGTCATTCACTGAAAACACATTACACCGTATATAACACTATTGACAAATCATTTAAAACAAACAATCTTCACTTGACATAACAATAAAAGTTTAGAATTCACGACAAAATGTGTTTGAAGATGACAAATGTGAAAAAATATTAGAGTATGTAACTTTCGTAAAACACTTTATTTTCACTTTTACCAAAATGGTTTTTATTACATACAACTGTTGTTGAGATCTTTATCTACTCGAAATTCAAAGCAAAATATTACATATTCAATACATTGTATTTTGATATTAGTCACATGAAACACATTTGTCAACAGAGTTCTCAGTCAATAATTTTAGTAATGTGGGCGTCAACTCTCTGTTTCATATTGTGTTCAGATGTATGTTAATGTGAAATTTGACAAAATAATAGAGTTGCCTGAGTTTTGAACTACACAGATTAACATTGTGATTGTGATGTATCAAGTTTGTTAGTGAGAAGTAAGACGAGGCTGAGTATGAATTAGATTATATGATGAAGAGATTTCTACGATTTTCACTTGCTACCTTTCATGAGATATGTATCTACTGCTGCTGCAGTTAGTTTCTGAATAATTTCCTAATTTGTCTGGTTATTGTGTAGGACCTTGTGAATTGATGAATGAGTCCTCAGATTCAACAAGTTAATTTCATTCTGGGTGTATTCAACATTGTGAGTGTGTTTGTATTCTAAATAGAGTTCATTCGTTTTTGTTGTGATTTGCATATATTTCATATTAAGCATCTTAGTGATGTCGGAAACAAATGATGAAAACTGATCACTAAAGCATTTCTATCATTCACTCCACATAAATTTAAACTCTCCACTCTTCTAAACACACAAACCATTTATGGAATAGTGAGAAATTCGCCTGATAATATTCCACCTTCTGGTAAACATTTATGAGTTCCATTGTTTGGTTTATTTTGTTGAAGGTTATTTAACGAATAGTGATCGATTTGTCCTGTAATGACTGGTACTTTTTCAAGCCCATATAGGCTATCCTAGCTTATGCACAAACCAGTTATTTATTCTTCTCACGTTTCGTTCTGAACTTGTCACTTCCTCACTTATTAACCCTAACTGATTTTATGTGTTCATATGGGTTGATTGTTTGATCTGATCAATACGTGTCTGTAACTCAGTTTTGTCTGAATATGAATATTGAGTAATGCTTCATCAAAACGAGTTTCCTTACTCGACTTTCCCGTCTTGGTTCGTATTCCATTCTTCCAGCAACATTCTCCGCTTCGTTTTCTCCACTTCGTTTCTCTGATTATCTGTGTGGATCAATAAGTGTATGGAGTATACACATTCCTATTTCATTCTCATATTCAACTTATTTCATTCCGTTATTCTCTAACGTGATTTAATTCTATGAAAATGTACCAGGGTTATCGACATGTATATTTCTATAGTAATCATCATGCGATCTAACTAGCGTCAGATATTGGACCGCTAAACTCTGTTTTGTAAATTTTATTATTATTAATCATGAGTTCTGAATATTTTACTTACAGTGTTCATGATTATTTTATATTCTATTACTAAACTATGACTGGAATACAATACTTCCTCATGTTAACTCATTACGTACTAAAAATAGAGATAACGGTGAATCACAGAATAGTTCTGAAAGTTCCCAATTTTCACTCTATTTCAACATCCAAAGCGGATTTCTATTAAAAGGCAAGCAAACAGTAAAAACAGTTTTAATTAAAGGATATTTAAAAGGCCTATAATAAATATGCAAATTGAGACAATAATATTAACTAGGCGGGCCACTTGGATATCTAGGCTACCTGTGCCTGCTATCTAGATATTTCAACATGTTATCTGTCTTTTGTTTGTTTCAACAGATCATAATGTCAATTATTTAGTTGCACAAGCTATTCAGGTGCGTTTTGAAATGTTCTCGACCTTTCGTTGTACAAGTTAGGAAAGAGCACAATCAGAGACATTGTGGTTGCTGGCAATATACATCGAAATGAGTGTACATTATTCATATGTCTATTCCTAAACTGCTAACATCTAATTGGCGATCACTCAATTTCTATGGTCAGGATAGATCAAGAAATAAGAAATGGAAACATGTTGAAATACTTTGCATCAAGTATTCCATATTAAACCAAAACATATTATTGAATAAAGCTAATAATAATAATAATAGTCATAATAATAATTATAATTATAATTATAATAATAGAAGCAATTGATTATTATTTTTCGAAAACTGAACTCAATTACTTTGCAGTCGACTGTAACACCGATAATAGTGTGGTTTGAAAAAGAACATAGAAAGTCAATACAGAACTCTGTCTACTCTCATCTGATACACAGAAGTCACTTAGTTGACAGAACTAAAGCATTAACACTTAATACTTTTATTGTATTCAGTTCTACAATTGCACTTAACCTCCTCTTTGACACATTTTACAAGTTGGAAGAAATCAAACCAACAGCTGTAGTCTTTGTAATGTAAAATGTTTTTAGAACCCATGTAACTCCTATGTAAGCAGTATGACCGTATTTTATTTTCTCTAACCTCTCTCGTATATCCACTGAACCTAACATCCATCTGTAGGTGTCTGAAATAATCTTGACACAATCGAGAACGACCCAATACATGTTACATAGGTCACACACCATACTTCATGAAAATAGATCCATCTCGAACACACCACAGATTCACCTCACCTCATTCCTTTCACACTTAGTATAGATGTTATTGTCCTTATCCAATTACACAGTTCCCTGCATCTTCACTGAAAAGACTAAGAAATGTGTTGTTAACTCATCAAGAATTTTCTAATATTTTCCTAAAATCAGTTCAACATTTAGAACTAACAACTACCATTTATTTCTCCTTGCAATTCACATTTTCTTATAATTACTAGTTCCTAAAATTGGTATTGATTGAATAAACAGGTAACTCAATGTCTGATACATCATTGCTCGTGTCGGCATTTTTCTCATGTGACTGGATTTAATCCACTGTAAAATAATAAACGAATAAATAATACCTGTCAATGAAGTCAATTTCACACACAAATCAACCGATATCTCACAATGATGCCGGTTAAATTACAGTTTGATATTTGTCATGTACACCAGTTTTTACACTTCAGAAGACATCAGATTATTTTGCTCACTTTCATTGTGTTGAAACGCTTTGATATTTGTCGTGAGATGATAATCATGATCTCTGATGCTTTCTATTTTCGATAGTACACGAGAATAGTGTTAGTAGTATAGAATTTGTCACGAATGAACAACCGTAGAAAGATGTGAATTACGTTGAGAGACCATTTATTCATTTTATACTTTTTTTTAAAATCAACCAAGTTTATTTTTTATTATTTCTCGTAATATTTTCTTAGTCCCGGTCGATATAACTCGGGAAATATTTCTCACTTGTTGCGTGTTATCCTTCTCGAGATAGTATTTCTTTCAACATTTGGAAGATAATTAAACACAAAACTACATGGCAGTGATATTCAGTATACTCAATCTTTCAGTCTGTTAGATGAAATATATAAAATGGAACTTCTATCCTACACGAGACGTAGGAGAACGTTAGGTAGACAAACTCTCTACATATTACTGCTTTCGAGAATACCTTAGTTATGTGACAAGGTTTACACTAGAAATCCAACTTCGCGACCGGTAATATTCCTTATGATAAATGTTCATATCGTATTAACATTGTATGTCTAGTGAGTGTGTAGTCTGTACCACAAATACGATAACCAATCAACATTTACTTTTTCGGTTGGCCAATCATCTAAATATGCTTTAATGTGTATCAATGACATAAGAGTCTAATAAAATCATGATTAAATTGGTCTGAACATTACGATATCATTACAATAAACATCTAAGTGCAGTAATCGGATTTTAATTGTCCTACTACCACCATGGAGTATGCTTCACAGATTCTCCTTTCGATCTTGCTGATTATAGTTAATATACATTGCAGTAAGATAACCTGTTAATGTTTCTCTTTGTTATATGATGATTGTTTTATAAATAATGTAAAGGTATTTCGGTTAACTAGAAGAAATTGAAACAGATTCCCTTAACTATCCATCATGTTACCTGCGACTCAATGTAAGTCTGGTGAAAACTGGTTAGCTCGAATAGGATTGTGATCAGCAATTTATTTTTTCAGTATGTACTTGTTATGTTTGTTAGTGATACCATGAATGTTGTTGTGTTCAGTCAATGAACTATTCATCAAATCATAAATAAGAACAGTCGTTGAATTAGTTTAAACAAAGGTTCAAATTTGACAGTATCGTTATGTCTTCTTATCTGATTTCAGGTCTGTCTTTAAGCTGCTATGAATGCAATCCTTGTCCAGTTCCATTCAGCAATTCTTCAGTGAGAATAGGACATAATTGTAGATGGTGTGCGGTAAGTGCAATGAATCATTCATTTTTTGAATTTCAATAAGCTTATCCAGTGAGATTAATTAAAGTGTTGAACCGTTACTCATTAATGTACTTATGACAGTTCAAAACAGGGTAATTGTTATTTATTCTGAATGTCTTGTAGTATCTCTAGTGTACAAGCATAATTAACCAACAGTTTTATAAATGATTGAAAATTATCTATTCTTCTCTGTCATAAGTAAGATTAAATCTAAGTGAAAGTGAATCGTTAGTTGTTTTCAGTTATTTAGGGCTAAAGACAAGGCTGTTTACTCTCTCCCTTCCTCTTTCTTCTGGTGGTCGACTGGATTATGAAGACCTCGACATTTGAGGGAAAACACGGCATACAATGGACAGCTCAGAACCAATTAAACGGTTTGGACTTCGCAGATGACCTAGCACTCATATCGCATACACATGAACAAATGCAGATAAAGACAGTCAGTGTAGCAGTAGTCTCTGCATCAGTAGGCCTCAACACACACAAGGGGAAAACCAAGATCCTCAAATACATCTTCATCGATGAACAAGGAAAATCCAATGCAGACGTAAAGGCGAGGATTGACAAAGCAAGGGCCACATTCCTACAATTGAAAAACATATGGAACTCAAAACAACTTTCAACCAATATCAAAGTGAGAATTTCCAGTACGAACGTCAAGGCTGTTCTACTGTACGGAGCTGAAACTTGGAGAACTACAACAACCACCATCAAGAAGGCACAAGTATTTATAAATAGCTGTCTACGCAAGATACTCAACATCCATTGGCCGGATACCATCAACAACAGCCTTCTGTGGAAGAGAACACACCAGCTTCCAGCTGAAAAGGAAATTAGGAAAAGACGATGGAAATGGATAGGACATACATTACGCAAATCATCGAACTGCATCACGAGGCACGTCCTAACTTGTAATTCTGAAGGGAAGCGTAAAAGAGGAAGGCCAAAGAACACATTACGTCGGGAAATCGAGGCAGATATGGAAAGGATGAATAACAACTGGGAAGAGCTGGAAAGGGTTGTCCAGGACAGGGTTGGTCGGAGAGTGCTGGTGAGCGGCCTATGCTCCTTCACGAGGGTTAACAGGCGTAAGTAAGTAAAGTAAGTAATTGTCCTCACTTCGATCAGCTGGAATTAATCATCGCTCTGAACTATTATTATTTTCAAGTGATCTTCAGGTTTGGAGAAACAAATCTATTTACTTGCACTATGTAAGAACAAAAATGTCCAAGAAATAATTAAAACTGATTACCGTGATGTTGACAACAATATGTGTTCTGATAAAAAAATATTATTGTAGACACACTAATTGGAGAAATTAATTTAACAATACTCATTTCACTTAAACAAATAGATTGTTAGATGTGAAGGACGTTCTACTAGATTCTAAGCAACCATTACATAGTGCTAAATGACTCTGTTGATTATTGTTTCTTATTGATAGAGATACTATTATTTGTGTTGAAATAACGGGAGTATATATATTTCACTTTCATCTGTTTTATTGTAGACGCTCTCGGTAAAACACTACCCAACTCCAATCAGAGAATGTGCACCTGAGTGCAGCTTTGCGTATTGGGGTCCAACATACAAATCATTGTCTTATGATTGTTGTCAAACTGACTATTGTAATAAGAGTGTACAGACACGTATAGTTCATCATATGTTGACTGTGATAGTCATAACATTCAGTTGTTTATTCAGAGTTAAGATGCAGTGAAACTGAACAAACATTATAATCTACGCAAATCGATTGTTTTTATCTTTATCTTGCTTTCTATGTTTTATAAATTCAGCCGTATATTAGGCATGGACATTATTTTGTAACTTATAAACGAGAAATATTAATTTTTTTTGAATTTCTGCAATTCATTGACACTTTAGTTTCATTCTGTTTTGTATTGAAAATAATACTGTAATAAAACGAACCAATTTCTTGTTCAATTTCTTATTTCCGTGTTAAACATTTTGTTAACGAATTAAGAATGACGATTAGTACATGTAGGCTAAATTTGATGAATTAACTGACATCAGCTGACTGCTATTTCGAGATACAGTCAAATTACTGTCTCAGATCATAATGGCTTTATATTAGGACTAACATTTTACTCAAAACATAAAGTTTATTCAGCAAACAAGTGAGATATATAAAACTATGTAACCACGTATGAGAAAAATGAAAATTTCCAACATGAACATCAGTTGGATGTTGTTCGATCACTGTTCCATTAACCATGACAAATTAAACAGTTCTCGGTAAAACTTTAGTCATTTATATATACTGTTATTGAATCTGTTCACATTCTAGTCTTTTTTCATATCTTTGATTTCTCACATTTTACTAACATTTACTAACTGAATTCAGAGTGAGGAAAACAGTTTAAAAGTATCTTAAATATAAGATAGAACAAAATAAGTTCATCACAGATAGCTACCATTTAGTCAGTTAACTGTTGAGATGAATTGGTTTCTTTTGGACATATTTCGGTGAAAATTAAAAGCTACAATTTTTCATACAGAAACGTTAACATGAATCTGTGAAATAAACGGAGTGAGACTACTATTGGTTATTAATTATATGGACTAATCATATAATCTTCCTGTCAGTGGAGGTATTTGTCAGTTACATCAGTAATTGAGCCAACTATTATACTCTAGTGGATCAATTATCATTCATCAACTTCTTTTAAACTTCACCCCTCAAGACTAAACAATTCAGGCTTTATTATTCCTTAACACTTTCCATATTATTCAGCTGCTAATATGAGCCTGAATACTGGTCAATGATAAATTGATACTTCCATGCGCAGATATCTAATCCCGTTATTTTACGCAAACGATGCTTTAAAAAATAAGCGTTATCAGTTTGAATAGTAGATAAATGGAAATGGAGTAATTTCAACACAAGTTGACGAATGATAAAACTACTCGAAGGTCACTTATTTATAAACGCTGAAATAACAATTCGACCGTATATAGTCGCAATTTTTCGAAGGTTACCTAGTCTGCTGATAGTCTAATAAGTAGTAAGACATAGACTTTAAACAATCTCAATACTGTTTTTTATTCTATTAGTCACACAAATATTGACGTTTAGCCTGAATGAGTGGTTTATCGGAAATGCATCGTCATCAACATAACTATTTACGAATTTTATACTCCACATTATTCATTTGATTAACATAGAAAATTAAATCAACCTTTCCGGTTTCAAATTACAGTTACATGTGTTTCGATTGGTTGTTTACCGATGTACCTCGAAAGTAAGGTTAGTTTGAGATGAATCTATCAGTGTACTGAGATTTACACGATTTTCAGTAGACTTTCGAATTCGATCAACTAAATAGCAGCCACAATAATTGTACGTTTAACTAGTCAGTTTATTGATCATAACCATGCTCTTAGCGTGTAAGTTCTTGTCAATAGTTCACCTTCATATCTCTGGAAACATTTTCTGCATGTTATATAGAATCAGACAATGTAACTATTACTTACCGATCTAGACCTCAGAATAGACTAATGATAAAACTAGCATTCTTCATTATTAATAAAACTTCATATCAAAAAAATTGACAACGAATCTATATAAAACATTGAAGACAACTGAAACTGTGAAATATCCTTCAGATCAACTCAGATGGTCATTCGATGTATCAGGTTCAGCCCCATGGATCTGAATAGTTCTCATTGTAAATGAGTTTACATTTTCAATGATAGAACCAGTTCTTGAGCCAATGTCAATAACCATTGAATGTCCGTTTGATTTGTATTATACCTCAGTAAATTGTTTTATTGAATGAGTGGACAAATTTGCAATCAATTTACTTGACACGTTGCGCTTAATTTATCATTTATATATCATTTTATTGAACCACATTAGGATATGGGTTTAATTCCTTTAAGTAAAAATGAATATTATCCAAAAATTAGAATTTTTCAATTAAATTAGTGTTATTTTATTTATTTATTTTTAAAATATTTAGTTTGTGTTATATTCCTCTCCCATTACCGAATTCTTAAACCACCCTTTCATTCACATATTTCCGCTCAATTGATCCTCTTAAATTATGTGAACTCTTCCAGTTCTATTCAATCATTTCGTAACCCATCTTATCAATTTATTAATTCCATGAATCCTTCATTACCTCTAAAATTATCACACAATTTATCTTATCTGTCTCAGAACTCCACTCAACTATTACACCACCCATCCTTAATGTTTTCTTAATTCTAACACCGAATAACTTCTGACCTGTTCTTGCACATATATATATAGTTATTATTGATAGCCTTTGTCATTTCAATGATTTACATTCAATTATGTCAATTGTTTCATACTATTTCTTACCTCAATGTTAAATTCTAATACATATTGGATGCCGGCTCAGTGGTCTAGTTGGTTAAGCGCCTGGCGCGAGGCTGACAGGTCCCGGATTCGAATCTCGCGGAGTGCGGGATCGTCAATGCGCGCTGCTGAGGAGTCCCACAACAGGACGAAACGGCCGTCCAGTGCTTCCAGGTTTTCCATGGTTGTCTAGCTTCAAATGACTCATGATTTCAATCAGTGAAATTTCTAAAATCTCCACAAAACCCCTTCTGACATATTTGGTTGTAAGCAGTTGACGATAAACCTCGAAATAAAATGAATTCATATTATTCTCCATCAATAATTGTTCTGGCTTTATTTAAATTCATAAAGAGAACTAATTGCATGAAACACTAATATCTCTTGTCATGTTCAAATACTATGCATTCTTAACATCTCAGTGATTGGCATACCTACTTTATTCTTGACTGGTCACTTTGATGATCACATTTCCCTGCTAGTTTCTTCGTTGTTTCCTCTACGTCGAAATGAAAATTATCTAAGAATCAGAATTTTTTCAATTAGATTTTATCGATTTATCGTTAGGAAAATTTAGCCAATTTTAGACAGCAATAAAGGTTTTGTTAATGTTTTCTATTACACTCAACGTTGTACAAGTTTACATCATTTACAATTTGTGAATAACATATTTGACAAATCAACAAGTGGTTTATTTCTCTTGTTCTCCACTCTCTATTCTCTACATTTACCATCAGAGATCAGTTGACAAATACTAGATATTTCTCATTCTTGTGATGTTTCATTTTGTACACATGTCATATGATTTCAATGTCATTGAACATTCAAAGTATTTTTATACTTCCTATTAAATGGTTTGGTAGTTTTGTAACTTTTTACACTGTCATTTTTTATTTTGACTTTTAGGAATTTCTTAGAAAAGGTTAAAATCTTTATGCTCTTTAAACATTGAGCCTTCAAAGATTTGTGGGTTGTTTTTTTTATTAAGTGCGGTATTGTTATATAGTGAAAGAAATTGGATATATTCCGCTCGTTTTTGGCGTTATTGAAAATTTATTCGTTGTTTATAAATGTCTAACTAACCATTCAGATTGCCTATCGTATATTACTATGAAAATAATTTGATGAAGACATTGGATTTGACTTGATTTTAACTGCTATGTCTGTAGTGTCGGTTGCTATGTTTCAGCCCACATAGCTTATTCTAGATTATGGACAGGCCAATTTATCCATTCTTCTTGAGTCACGTTTTGACCTTGTTAATTATTGGCCTATCAATCCTGACTGTTTTTAAGTAAGCTTTGTGTGTGCACTTTTTATCCTATTCATCACATGTCTGTAGTCTATGTTTATCTGGCTATAAATATTGATTAACGCTTGATTGAATCGATTTGGCTTACATGCCTTCCCCACTGGGTGTCATTTCGTTTCGCTTTGCTCTCTTTCACTTCATTCGCTGCAATTCTCTGAATGTCTATTCCGATCAACGAGCGTACAAAATATACTAATTCAAACATCCATCCTCGTATTTGACTTAGTTGTTTCCTTTATTCACCAACGTGATTCAAGTCGATAATTTGGTACGAGGATTGGCGATATATATATCAACAGCAATCGTTCATACAATCCGATTAATGACAGACATCAGACCACAAATGTGGTGAGCCCATCAACAACATCGTCCGATCTAACTGACGTTAAAATAAAGAGCGCCTCACATTCATGATAAACGTCTAGAGGATTATATTAAAAGAATTATATCAAGTTGTTGATATACTATTACCAACATTTCTTATTATCTTCACACAACATGAAATTTTCGTATTCTCGAATAATCCTCATTTTGAAGGTAATCAAAACTGAGTTTCATAGAAGCATTACACGCCAGAGGGAAAAAGATTTCCTCAATGTAGTCAGTGGAGGTATTTAACTTATTAAAGTTCATTGATAAGCGAACTTGTTACACTTTTCGAGGTTTTCATCATTGTTGTTTACTCAGAGCTACATGAATCAATAATAAAGTTGTCATCATAGTACTTTGTGCCAATCAGATGACGACAAGGACAGTGATTTTTCAAAGAACACAATTTTACCAAAGGATATCTAATATATGAAATAATGCTGAGAGCTGTTTTTTGCTTACTCGGAATTCAATTATTTATTTATTTATTTATTTGGACACATGAATATTGGTACAAGAGAGCGCCAATATATATGCGCCACACAAAACAATGAAAATTCGAGAGGAATACAAAGAAAGAAAAAAAAGCTAAGGAGCGCAACAAAAAAAGAGAGAACAATAACGAAGAGATTGGTGTAAGGTAATGTGCTAGTAATCAGGGAACGCAAAGGTACAATCGGAAGAAATCTTTCAG